AAATTTCCATAAAGTGTTTATGCCAAAACAGTTTGGGAAAGTTAAAAGCAACCGAAAACAGGTTCTGATAAGGGAAAGTGGCAGACAACCTTAATTACAGGCGATGGTGCCAGCTATTGCCATAACAATGGTATCTGCAGTAACCCTAGCTACTATAAGAATTTGTAAGTGTTAAACCATCATGCATTAGGGCACAAGCTCACCACTAACTGCCTGTGCATTATAGGGTTCTCACAACTTCCTGAAGCACCAAGTTATAGCTACTGTTGGATAAAGAATACTAGACAAGATGGAAAAGTTATCTGACATGGCAATACCTATATTCCTAGAATGCCCAAAACTGACCAGTACAGGTAGGTATAAAATAACTAGAGGAGGTTGGGACTATCAATAGGTACAATTGTATTATGGCAAATGGGTTGGAGGTGACATGTCACTAGAGATGCCTACTCAATTCTAATGGTCTCTTTCATCAGGCCTGACTGGCCTCCTGCCAGTCCACCATTCTCTTCAAAAGGTGAATTAAGGCTTACATGAGTTGTCTGTGATGGACCACTTAGTGTTGTCCCCCATTTGAACTACTGCAAGCCTCAGTTGTTACCTTTGCCGTAAGTCCATGTTGAAAAGTAGGAAGAAAAACCTTCAACGAAGGGAGAGGAGGAGAGAAAAACAATGTTATGCAAGGTCCACCCCAAAGTCATGCGTTCTAAAGCTCAGTATCTGAGGAGACACTTCCTTCTACAGGGTGTTTTGAGTCCAAGTGGAAGGCAAGACAAAATAGCTGACAAATCAGCCAGAAAGGAGCTAGAACTTCTAATCACATGACCTAAGCTCAGACCTTGCATAATACTCCTCTTTGATTAACAGCTGTATAGAGTGCCATTTCTGTTCTGGTTGTAAGGCAGCTAAGTGAGGGTTATTGTAAAAGGATTTCTTCTTAGCGTATGCACAACGTGCCTCAGGTGACATGTGACCAGCGTTCATCACCGAATTTGGTCCGCTGATTGGATCATTAGCTTCCCCGGCCTGGGCCAGGTACTAATGGGGAGTGCGATGTGAACACTGAACAAATACATATGTGCATTGTACAAGAATAGCTTCCTTTTATCAGTTTTACATTTGATTCCTTTCTCAATTTCATACACTGAGCTCTCATTCTAGCATTGAGACAGGAAACCTGAATAACCTTCTCTACACTTTCCATAAATACCTCTTTCCACAGATACAAGTTTAAACATCCCATGATTATTGTCACCTGTTTAGAAATTGCAACTCTGGGATGGCACTGAGCATATTTCACTCACTGCACTGCCATTGCATCACAAGAATTAATGTAATTTCCTGGACTGAACATAGGAGTGGGAGCCAGGAACTCAACACTTTTAACCCCAACTTTGTCACACACAAGTCAGTCATAACCTCACTCTCTCGTCTCCATTGCATTAGGAAACAGGTACTACTTAAGTAATTAAGTAGTATTATGACAAACTGGTTGGTCTTCAAAGTAGTAGATTCTCGAAGCCAAAAACAAACAATGGCATTTGCAAACCTTGAAGTTTAAACATACTGGAATTTGAAACCCTACAGTGATATAGTTCTCTACCTCCATGAAAGTTGTGTTTGGGTGTTTTTTGTTTTGTTGCGTTTTTTAAATCAGCACTGATAGTAAGCAGGTCAAAGTAATGACCAAACAGAGAATTATAACTTTATGCTCTAGGCAGCAAGCTTCACTTTCATGTTATATAGTAAGCAAACATACAAAAGTCTAAGTATACCACCAAGAAAGCTTACAATTTATATTGCTACAAAAAAGTCATTCTATAATTGTTCATCAAAAATATCAAAAGTTAAATGAGACTAACAAGCTCTCTTTCCAATCACATCTGGTGTCATCTGGAAGTAATTAGATAGAGGATGCAGGAAACCTCTTTTACAAAGTAAGATTAGTAAATTCAAGAACACATTAGGAACTATGTGATTCTAGTGGTGGATTTATACATTAAAAAGGGAACTAATAATATAGCTTATGTCTGACAATTTGTCTTCAGTTACCACTATTGTTTTTTAAAATCTCTATTGTAAATAAACTTATTTCTCGTCTTTATAATGATAGTATTCTACAAATAAGTATATTTTCACTGCATTTAAGCTACCTGGGTTACACCCACTCACTGTCAGAACTCAGTGTTAGTTTAAAGACAGCAATTTTATGTTTGAATAAAATAATTTGCTAAAAACTTAACCAGTTGGCTTCCCTTTAAGCCAAACATCTAAAAAAAATGGGTGAATATAGACTGTGTTTGTCAAACTAATATCAAAATGTGTCAGTTTTTACTCTTTTAAAATTTGCTTAGGCGTAATGAATTCTAGCCATGCAATTTTTCTGTGAAAATTACAATGGTAAAACAGTACTGATTGTGTACCAACATATATTGAACTATCTAAATGGGAAATGACATACAAAAATCTGTGCAAAATTATCACATTACTTCAATATTTGCCTTCACACATGCATCTAGGTTGCAATGTATTGCAAAAGTTAACCCAATATTTCCAAATGTACCATTTATGATTTACCAGGAAAACCACTTCATAAGTTTAAGACTTCTTAAATAAAGATTTACACCTATACATACACCTAAAGTATACATCCATTTTTAGAATCCATCTACATATATAATTCACCTAAGACTATAACAATTTTTAACATTGTTGTGCATCGATAAGTTGTGTATATTTTTAAACTGTCTAAATACATATTTTTAGTACACTAACAGCTGTCACATTCTCTCATACATTTCCATAAAACTTGTTTTTAATGCTAATGTAAAAAATCCAAAGCTAATTAACGCAATAAAGCATACATTCAGGTAAACTTAAGGATCTGATTTAAAATGACAAAAGCAAAGGAATCCAGAGTTAAGACTGGAACTCTCTTTAATTTACCCTATTATGATTAATTATATAAAGGGAAATGTCACAACAGTGGCAGATTAAGCAAATAAGAACATATGCACAGGCAGGGAAGGATGAGTTAGAAATGCAGTTTCACAGCTGACAGAATTTTCTTTTTGTGTGTGGATGGGCAAGATAAAATTATACAAATTAATATAGAAATGGTTATTTTACCATACCGTTTATACTTAAATTGTAAACTGTAGGGGCAGGGACTGTCTTCTATGTTTGTACAACATCTAGCATAATTGTCACTACAGTAACAAAACAAACCAACGAACAAATGGTGTATTTAGGTTATAGTCCCCAATCTTGCCAAGATCATAATAGAGTAGGACTAGAGCGGAGTCAATTTAAAAAACAAAAACAAAAAACCCCAATGCTATCTGAAAACATTTTAACTAGTGTTATTTGTAACATCTAAAATTGCTACAATTGAAAGATTAGAAACTTTTTTTCAAGTTTGTTTCCTTTGTTCATTTAACTGCACTATGTATACTCAGAAAAATTAATTCCCCCATGTAAAGGGGTACCTTGCCCATGGGCTGGAGAATCTGGGGCTAAACTAGCTCAGATTACAAAATGAGTCCCACCAGAGGGGAATCAGATTATTCAAATATAAAAAGCAACAGGAAGCAGGAGGAAGCATGAGGAGGAGGCCGAGCTCTTACAGTGAGGGAACTGCAGAGTGAAGCTGCAGGGAAAGAGTTTCCTGCCCTGCAGAATAATCCAAAGTTGTTTTGTTTTTTATATTCAGTTCAGAAGTAGCCAAGAGAAGAAAGGCAAATTGGATGAAATTTGAGAACAGGTATGGCAGAAAAGAGATTTTACCAGATGTCAGGAACTTCAGAGGAGAAAGCTTTTACACTCACAGAATCTGGACTATATGAAGAAGATTTAGGAGGGGATAGAAGAAGTGCATAGGGTTCATATGCCCACAAAAATTCATTTTATTAATATGATATTCATAATGCACATTGTATTGGGAGTCTATTTAACAACCACAGAAACACCACACTTTAATTTTTTGAAAGGAACATTTCTGAATGTTGATAAACGCAAAGTACTGCACATTAAAAAACATAATCCCAACTATACACACACAAAATGATAGGGCCAAAATTAACTGTTTCCGCTCAAGAAAGACATTTTGGAATCGTTGTGGATAGTTCTCTGAAAACATCAGCTCAATATGTGGCAGCAGTCAAAAAACCTAACAATGTTAGGAACCATTAGGAAAGGGATAGATAATAAGACAGAAAATATCAATATTTCTATATAAACCCATGACATGTCCATATCTTGAATATTGTGTGCGAATCTGGTCGCCCCATCTCAAAAAAGATATATTAGAACTGGAAAAGGTACAGAGAAGTGCAACAAAAATGATTATGGGTATGGAACAGCTTCCAGATATGACAGAGGTCTATAAAATCTTGACTGGTGTGGAGAAAGTGAATAAGGAAATGTTATTTACTCCTTCCCATAACAAAAGAACTAGGGCTCACCCAATGAAATTAATAAGCAGCAGGTTTAAAACAAAAGAAAGTACTTCTTCACACAATGACTTGTTGGCAGGGGATGTTGTAAAGGCCAAGACTATAACAGGGTTCAAAAAAGAAATAGATAAGTTCATGGAGTATAGGTTTATCAGTGGCTATTAGTCACAATGGTGAGTGATGCAACACCATGCTCTGAGTATCCCTCGCCTCTGTTTGCCAGAAGCTGGGAGTGGACAACAGGGGATGGATCACTAGATGATTGCTCTGTTCTGTTTATTCCCTCTGAAGCACCTGGTATTGGCCCCTGTCCACAGACAGGATACTGGGCTAGATGGATCATTGGTTTGACCCAGTATGGTGGTTCTTATGTTCTTAACTACACTTTCCTATGTATAAATGCATTTTGCACATTAAAAACATTAGAAAAAGTTTTCTAGAAGCAAAAAAAAAAAATCCAGTTAAACTTTACTTTGCCAAAAATCACTAATTGCAACAGGTCTGAAGTTCAAAGGTACAATTAGGTTATCAGTTTTGATATCATACCATCTTTTGGTGATTCTGCAGACTTTGCCACAGCTATCATCTTTGTAGACGGAGTTTGGTCATGACAAACCTGATGTAAGAAGTTTATGGATTTTCCTATTAGAAGGACCTAAACACAAGAGAATAACTTTTTAGACGTTATTTTTATATAAACAATAAAAATGAAATGTTGTCTGTAAGTTAATTGTTGCCTCCCCACTCCCAACCCCTGAAAAACAGATGAATCCCCTGATGTAGTAATATATATCAAGCACTACTTCTTTTTAAACGTCCTCTTTCTTCAAAGTACCAGTAATTCAATTACACAAAACAAAGTTTCTTCCTTCATCTCAAAGTAACAATCCAGGTTATCCAAATACCTTTTTCAGACAACATGGCAGGTTCAAAACATTCGGCTAAATTTATGCCACATGTTCTTAATGTTATTCCAGCCATAAACAGCAGCAAAGGGTCAATGAAACATCAAACAATCCTTTTTCCCATACCTTTTTTGATTGATCCATTGTAATGAATGAAGGGATCATTGATTTTCTTAAAGTGTACTTGTCATGCCACAACCGGTCTGCTTTAACTGTAGGATCTGAAGCTACAAAAAACTGCAGGTTGACAGAAGCATTAGATATAAAAGGAATTTAGCTGGCATTTATGTTTCACACACATACACCCACTTTTGTATTTAATTTCTAAGTGGAGACATATTACATATACATGTTTATTTATAGTCCCATGTCAAGCAGGTGTTATTGCCTTTGGGATTTTTTGAGGAGTGGATTTCTTTTATTTTGTTGTTTCCTTGAATAGTGCATGCACATACTACATAGAAATCAAACTGTATTTTTGTATAAGCATTTTGGTACTTTTATGCTCTGTGGGCAGTGTTTTGGCACCACTGTTTTTTGCTGGACAGCAGCATTTTGGCGCATAAAAAGAGCCGAAGCTGAATCCACCAAGACTAGCTCATTATTTCTCCTGAGCTTCTTGTCAGAAGGATCTTTCAAGGAAGCTATGCCCTCTATGGGAAGAGCCTGTGATATGCACAAAAAGGACCACATCTCTGGTCTCTCAGAATCTCTGACAGGTGGTAAAAAGCCAGCATATTGCCAGATGCTCTCTTTGCCCAGAGAGTCTTCTTGAGTGAAAAGGCCTTTTATTTGACTTGAATAGTCTCTTCACAGAGATCTGAAGTCTTCAATGGCAAAGATCCTGGCTTGATCTGGAGGAGCCTCCATCTGGGAGGGCATACACTGGATCTGACTCAGATATGATCTCTTTCACGTGGGCCATTCTGCCTAACCAGTCCCTAGTTGCAAAGGATGAGGCCAATGAGAAGTCAGGAGTTTGGGAGGAGGTAGCTCCCTTTCTGGGCAGTCTCTTCCCAATTAAGTTCTTTAAACAAGGACTCGCAGATCGATCATAAAAGGGTTTAACTGGGAAGAAAGTCAGGATCAGGCAGCTACCCGCAATAATGTAACAAAGAGCAACAGCCCAGATTGCAGACTGGAAGGCTCTTCCAAGCCCCTCCTGCGCCTTCCAATACCCTCTACCTCAAACATGAGTGAGAGATGTACAGATAGGATAGTGGGGTGAGGGAAATCTGTTTGTAATGGTGCAGTCTGAAGAAGGAGCTCTAACACTTTCATCCCCACAAGGGCAGAGTTAAGGTTGTGATGCATTGTCAGTAGTGAGGTGTGTAGAGGGCATGCACAATCAGATGCCTTAACTTACAATTTCTTGTTCTTTGGAATTGGTGTGAAGTATGTTATTTACAGACTAACCTTAATTAACACATAACATACTGTTTTATGTATTTTCTTATTTACTCAGATTCTGAAGGGACTGTGTGGCAGGGCAGGGGTAAAACCCCCTTTAAAGTCCTGCCAAAATGCTGGCTGCAGCCTGCTCTCTGGCCAGGAGGCCAGGTGTAGAGATGCAGGTACTCAGCAGGGAGCCCAGCTGCAAGCCCTAAGGAGGGCTGGCTCAGAGGAATATGCTGAGCTAAGTAGTGACAGCTGGCCTGGAGCAGGAGAGGGCTATAAAAGCCCTGGGCAAACCTCAGTGGGGAGGCTAGCCTGGGAGGAGACAGAAGGGCAGTATCTCTGTCTCCTTACCAACAAGGAAGCCTGAAGGGCCAGGAGACCCTGGGGAGGGTCTGTGGGGCACTAACTGTTGGGGGATCTGGGAACTGCACAAGCACTGTAAGTAAAGACACTTGGGTGATCCAGCAAAAGAAGGCGTGGAAGGCTCTTTATTATACCAGCCTAAACACAGGGTGCAGGCACAAAAGTGGGAGAGCCTGCTCGGACCCTGTGACAGACTGACAACACAGCAATAGCTACATTAATTAAAAAAAACAGGATCTGCTGCTGAGCCGGCTGGAGCACTTTCACGAAGATCCTAGTATTTGGTAAATTAGCTGCTGCTTTGTCGGTTCCTGTTCTTCATTAAACTTTGTTGGTTGATTAGTAGATTGACAGGATCCAGGAAAGATGATGTAACCGGAATACATCACATTTTCATGAAACCTGAATGTGTCTACATACGAGTTTGGAAAGTGCCTAATAGAAGTTTCCAAACTGTGATTCATGGAGAGCTGACTGGCCACATAGTACTGGTTCTCCTACTTATAACCAACTGCTAAATCTCATTAAAAACAGATAGGAACTTATAAAATAATTTCCTAATGTTACTTTTTCAGGTAAGCAGGCATGCTAAATTGCAATTAGGAAAGCAATGAGATCACAATGGGGAAGGGACATGCCCACAAGACACTGTCTCCATTAAGATGTGGTCTACACTACCAAAGAGTTTGAGAATTCCTGGCTTACCACATTTTGGACTACACTTTAAATAGTAAGTGCCACATTCTGTATTCAAATTGGGTGGGCTTCTGTTGAGTTGGTGATCTAGAATGCTGAGGTTTCCATCTTGTTCTCAACCAAGTGTAATTGATGCAAAGATGCCTGTGCAAGCCTGCAGAAAGCCAGAAATAGTTCTGGGAAGTGTGACCTGACATATTCATCTCAATGGGGTGCCCACTGAGGAAAATTTAAATGTCAAAATTATTCTCAGTGCTGATCAAAACATATAAGAAAGAAGACTGACAGTCATATCATGAAGTTCTTCACAATCTACTCAGTAGCAACTCAACTTGGTGCCACTAGGGTATGGCACTTTGAAGAGTACCATCAGTTTCTTCCTCTGAATAAACCTGACCTGTAGAGCTAGAAGGCTAGATGTGAGGAGCAGAGGCCAAGGGAATGAGAAACTCATCAAGGGGGAGTCAATCACTCTGAGGCCAGGACATATCCAAGCCCTATCCCCCACATAACCAAAATGGCCTCCCCTAGAGAAGCCAGATAGCTTTGTCCCTATAGCTAGTAGTTGCTGCTCCTCCTCCCCACTCCTCTTCTGGAGGGTTTTAGCAGACATCATTGCATCAGTTACAATAGAAGTCACATTTTCATGCTTTTCTTTGTAGCCATGAATGTTTACGAAGATATTTTTAAATGAAATAGATTTTGATGCTGTGACATGACTGAGCCAGGGGGTTTAGGCAGATACCTATTCTGCCTAGGCCTTAATCCAGCTTTGCCCACAAATGTAAATGAACGCCAGTGAGTGGGAGCCAGGGTCTGAGAAGCCCAGCAGTGGATATGCTGTTAGTGACATCTTGTGTGGGTGGAGCTTCAGAGAAAGCCTCCAATATTTCTCCCCCCAATTTGAGTCTGACTATATGAATATTCAGATCACCAGCTGTATCTATACTTAGTTACCTTATCAGAACATCTTAGTAATTTAAAAATTACTAATCTGATTTTTTATTATTAATTATCTTAACTTTTTTGTGACAGAATTACAACTGACAGACTAGACATATGTAAATATACAGTGGTATTTAGCACGGATTTACAAAGACCAACTACAGAAACTGTTAAGAAATGATAGTCTATTTTACTATGTATATAAACCAAAAGACTCAGATTATTTTATTTTTCAAGAATGCCTGAATATTTCACATAATGAGGCTAGGAGCAGTCTGTAAGATGCTTATGGTGTTATATTGCACTGAGACAACACACTACCCCAAGAATTAGAAATTTAAAAATTTACTCAACCAAGAGATTAGGTATAAAGTAATGCTTTTCATTCATTGGTTATTCCTTTAACCATAAGGGCTAATTTTTTTACAGGCAACGTATAGACCCATCTTGGTAAGTGGCATGGAACTAGATCTTGATCAATATGAACAACGAGAAATTTAATTTAAAAAAAGAAAAACCTTAGACAATTCAGTCACTTCTGGAAGTTATGAAAACAATGCTTCCTCTAAGGGCAAAGTAAAATGCAATTACTGTATCTAGAAAACATCCAGTAGCAAACACAAAGAGACAGGAATGCATTTTAGATTATAATTAATCCCATGAAAATACAGAGCTTGAAGAGGTGGGGGGGGGGGGGGGAGAAAAGAGAATCAAGGTCAGGCTATAACTGCAATATGCTTTTATTTTATTGATTCATTTTCCACTCAAGGTCTTTGATTTTCATTATTATATCACACACAAAGAACCACAGAAAAAATAAGAACTCATCATACAATTTTACTGCTAGACAAATGCCAAGGCCTCCCAACTAAAAACAGATATTAAAAAATGATAATTTTCTTATTAAGGAACAAATTTTCAAATATTAGATTCATTAATATGGATTGTGAAGGATCCCATCTTCATCTTATCAAGCAAGTGGACCTTACAGGGGAGGAGAATTTTTTCAAAATGCCACTGCTAGCAAGACATATGGCCTTCAGACAAAATGTAAGCTGTAAGTCCAACACACCACATTAAGCAATTGTTTATTTTCAGTATTTAAGATGCATTATCAATCTATGTAAATTTAAACAAGCTACTTGCAAAAAGTTGACAACTAATAAGTGACAGTGTCAATCACTTATGAGTTTAATTTTTTATTTGAAATATGGCAGAGGAGAGGGGATAAGTTACTTTTAATACTTTTGAAAGGTGTCATAGTGGCAGCCCTAAAGACTGAAGTTCTCTATTTATCCACATAATAGATACAGGCTTCCCTACGTTGACCTTAGAGACCAACTCTGGATGACACTAATTCATTCTCCACGCTCATTTAATTTTCGACTCCAATATAGAATCATAGAAATTGAAGAGGTTATTTAGTCCACAGTTAACAATCTCAGAAGAGTTTAAGTAACTCAGTAACCTAAGTGCCTAATTCATTTTTAAAAATAGAGTTTAGGCTCCTAAATCTCAGTGAAACTCAAAATAAGATTACATAAACCGAGTTGTAACCTGGCAAGGAGAAAAGCAAGCGTGAGGATGATTGAGGTAAGTGTAAACAGGTACAGTTAACAGTGAAGTGCCAATGAGATCTATGAATAAAAAGCCTTATATAAGAGTTGAATACTCTGATTATTAATTTTGTTAAATGATAGAATAAGGAGGTACTATGAAGGTGATAGTACATGAATAACTAGAACAAGGATGGATTTTATAAGAATCTATTACTGCAGAAGTCAAAGCAAATTTTGTAGGACTTTTAAAGGTATTTCATTCTCATAACATTTTCTACAGAATCTGAAAAAGTGAAAGACTCCAAGAGCTCAATATATTTAGCTTAAACAGAAGGGTCAGGGGTGACCTGATTACACTTTATAAGTATCTACACGGGGAATAAATATTTAATAATGGGTTCTTCAATCTAGCAGAGAAAGGTATTACACAATCCAATGGCTGGAAGTTGAAGCTAGACAATTTCAGACTGGAAATAAGGCATTAATTTTTGACGGAGTGTAATTAACCATTGGAACAATTTACTAAGGGTTGTGGTGGATTCTCCATCACTAAAAAGTCTTAAATCAAGACTCGGTGTTTTTCTAAAAGATGTGTTTCAGGAATTACTTTGGGGAAGTTCTATGGCCCTTGTTATACAGGAGGTCAGATTAGATGATCTCACAGTGGTCCCTTCTGGCCTTGGAATCTATGAAAATTATTTGCACTAATGCCTAGGATAATAGTAGGAACTGTAAACATAGACATTAATAAAAATAAACTACAAAGCAAGAGAAATAGTCAAACCTTATACTTCAGGTACAAAATGGATTGCTTGCAAGAGCTGGAACAACTTTTGTACACCATAATGTTATGAGTACATTTTCCAGAAAGAAGTTGAGAGGGTCTGGGCTTTCTCTAACAGTTTTTTTTGCCACGAGTAGAGGCAGCATGCTGGACTTGATGGATCAGTTATCCAATTCAGTCAGGTCATTACTACATGTAGTTTAGTTACATACACAGTAAGTTACACAGGCCATTTCATATTTTAAAATAATGTTGTGCAACTGAACTATTCTTATGCTCATAATGGGTTCAATCCTGCAGTTCTCACTCAAATGTATCATTGATTTTTACTCAAATAAGAACTTGAAAAGGTATCAATATTACTAGTTATACATAACTTACTTCATGGTATGTGTCCTCCAGCTCCCCATCATAAATCCAGCGGTAAAGGAAATTCAAGACCGGATGGGACACTAGGCCAAGAATGTGTTGTACCAGGGATCTCATATAGGGATCTCCTGTTTTAGTGTAGGCATGGACAGCTGATGCTAGTTCACCACCTTTTCTTCCTATGGAGACAGAAGTAGACAGGTGAAGGAAAGAGAGCAGGTTCTGATTATGTACTTTATATTTCAAAAATAACTTTCTTCAGGCCATGATGACTAACTGTATGTCTGTCCATCTCTGACCTTGTTATACAGCAATTTTAAATCCAACACATATAAACATTTAGGCTATGTCTACAATGCATGCCACTTGCAGCAGTGCTTAGGGTATATGTAGCTACATACTATGGAGAAAAGCAGACTGCAGTCACACAGGGGTGTGTGGCGACATGTCAGTGGAAGGCTCTGGCAGCGTGGAGGCATAGGAAAAGTCTTGGCAGCAGGGAGCTGCTGGAACCTTTCCCTGCTGCCTCCCCCCCGCTAGAGCTTTTTCCCACAGTAGTAAAAGGCTCTGGCAGCTCCCTGGAAAAGACTGGCAGTAGGGAGGCAGTCTAGATGAAGGCGGTGCAGCTTGTGCAAGTAGAGAGCCATTTATAGTACATACCCAGGTACACCACATGGTTCAGGTGTGTCTTTATTCTACTCACCTAAGCAGTGCCTCACCATCTACACTGCTGTTTACACCCTTGCTGGGGATAAGGGTATGTACTCTACACACCACCAAAAGGAGTGTGCAATGTAGACATACATTTAGAATTATGACAATTAAAAGAAAACATTAGAAGGAAGATTTAAATATTAAATATCAAACTTAAATCTGTATTTTAACATGTTTCGACACATCCATTGATAAGCTCTGGTTGTTTTATGCCACCCTGAAGCAAGCAAGACCAAGCATGCCAGTTAGTTTTTGCTTTATACTGCTCTGGTGAAGCAAGCCAACCATAAACCCTGCTTGAGGGTACATTTCAATTTCCTCTCTCGTCCTCTAAATTATCCTTGTCTCTTGCACCTCCCTACATTCCCGTGTGCATGCGCGCGCGCACACACACACACACACACACACACACACTTCTCTCGCTCTCTCCAATCCTTCCTATCTTCCCCTGCAGTTTCCTCCTTCCTCTTGCAATCTGAGTAGCTTTAGTGCAATCACTAGCTTTTGAAATAAAATACACCGCTACCTCGATATAACGCCACCAGATATAACACGAATTTGGATATAACGCGGTAAAGCAGTGCTCTGGGGGGCGGGGCTGCGCACTCCGGTGGATCAAAGCAAGTTCAATATAACGCGGTTTCACCTATAATGCGGTAAGATTTTTTGGCTCCCGAGGACAGCGTTATATCGAGGTAGAGGTGTATTTAGGATTAATGGGCTCTCTTTACTGTTATGTCGCATAAGTGAAAGTTTGTCAGCACAGACTGCTACATTAAATCTTTTTCTTCAGAAAAACTTAATGAACTACCCTCTTACAAAATCATTTCTCACTGTTCTCTCTGGTACCGAGGCCATATGCATTCTTCCATTAAGAAATGGTTTCAAAATAGCCATAGCCTCCCACTGTTTCCAATGGGAGTGAAGCCAAACTTTCCTCAGGGCAGGCTATATACCCTCTATGCCAGAGGAATACTCAGACTCACTACAGCAATGGGAGATGGCAGCCATTTTGAAAGAGCATAGCTCTTAGTGTAATTCTGCAAAGCAGAACATTAATCTTCAGGCTCCACAGAGTAGGAAACTTTCAGTTATGAAGAATATGAAAAAGTGACCATTAACCCTAATTTTTTTTTTCAAATGTATCCTGTACAAGAGATTTCAGTGAGTTTTAGTTAGATGGGCAGTTTGAAGAATCTGCATTATTTTGATAAGAAGAAAGCTTCCATTTCTGCTCAAATAGCCTGGTAACCAGCAACAACAGGAAAAGAAATAAAGTATATAATAATTTAAAATGTGTTTTTAGTAAGTAAATTTACAAAAGTATGTGAGAGTATTACTATGGTTATGTAAATATCTATTTAAAATGCTGAAGACAGTCTGGTGGATCTACTGCTTACAGACTTGTTTGAAGGGAAGGTGAACATTTTTACCTGGTCTTCAACCAGCCACATCACTACCAGAAGTCTACTACTTTAATCTCAAATATAATTAATTTAATATAACTGGCATCCATGCTTGGCATGCACAATCACTCCTGAAGTTACAAAACTTTAAAAAATAAAGAAATATTTAAAAAAAATCACAGACCTTGACAGTGATCGACAAGTGCTGCAAGTGTCTTGAGTCTTATTTTAGGATCATATGTCCATACTAGAAGACGACGAAGTGTTAAACTGCTCTCAAGTCCCAAATTTACACCCTGATCATCTTCAAGTTGCAGCTGATCAAATTAAAACACACAGGCATAGTCAAAACACAGCATTCAAGTACTGGCAGCAAAATAGATATTCTACATTTTTGTTCTGAAGTTAGCTTCGTTTAGTTTTTTTATTACATGAAACTAGTCAATACATACATTTTATCATAAAATACTTAGGCTAAAACTTCATAGACTGACATAAGAAGAAACCAAGAATCAAATGTAGATGAAAGCACAGCGCAAAATGTAAAAATAATGGATCTGACAGAAGAAAGAGGGTAGGGAAGACATGAGGGTATGCAACAGAAGCATCAGACAGCTTGATGGATAGGTAGTTACAAAAGCAGCGAAGGACAGAGAAACAATGCTGAAGGATAGCAGGTGGTAATCGGAGAGGCTATGCAGAGAACGGAGTGGAAAGAGAACAAAATGTGTAAAACAAGAATCCTGAGAGCAACAGAATGAATAGTGAAATTTCTACCATGACAGCAGCAGCTTGATTTTAATTCTGCATGGGACAAAGTCTCTTGAAATTTTCCTCCAAAAGTCACCACAATAAAGCAAATAAGTTAACTATAAAGTTCAAAGATGGAGTACTATTAATATATAGGAGCCTAAGTCACTTCTGGAAATGGAACTTGGGTGCTTTTGAAAAAGTTTTACTTCAGATTTAATGAATAGTGCTTAATTAAGGTGTGAATTGAAATCCATGTGGCTGCTCTGCAAATCTTCCCAAAGGGCATCTGCTTAAAACATACACAGAAGCAGCTGTATCGTATATGGGTGGGCGCCAACCCCTGTTAATAAGGGGACCCTAGCCTGAGAGTACACAAGCAAATACATGAAGAAATATATAGCTGTAGAGTGGAAGAACGCATTGGACAAGATGATGGTATGCCAAAATTGTAGCTAAATGGCCTTTCAGGGACAGAACTAACTCCTTGAGGTGTCACAAGTAATCCATATAAAGGAACATAGGAGGACCCTGGAACAACCCCTGTAGTAATCGCCCAAGTAAAGAAACTCTTCCATCTCTGACCTTAGCCATTGGGAAGGGAAAGTACCTAGACTGGAAAAGAACCTCTTATTCTTGTAGAGCAAGAGAGGACAGAGCTAGTAAAGAGTCTATCATCGAGGTAGCCAAATATAAACAATTCTAGATCAGGGTAGAGGATGCTCTCAAGTGTCTGAGACAGCAGGTCTGGTGTTGGATGAAAGCTATATGGCGACTCTTGGGGGAAGTGTACCAGAAAAATCAGCATATGAGAGCTGTCTGGACTACACTGATGCATTCAGAAGAATTTCTACACTGCCTCTGTGGATTTTTTGTAGGAGTCTGGATCCGAGAGGCTTTGGAGGGAATGCCTATAAAAAGGTCTTTGCACCAATCCAGGAGGAATGAATCTGTGAGGGACTCCTAATCTATACTTGCTCTTGAGCAAAAGTCGTGACACACTGTTTTCGCTGGTGGCGAAGATCTATTGCATGTGTTCTCCAAGGGCAGAAGTAATGGTAAACCATTGATGTTTTCAGAGATCAGTCACTGGTCTTGTCATCTTCTGCACAGGGAGCCTGCCTGGACATTTTGTACTCCCAGTAAGAGTAGCGCTATCAGATGAATGCAATATCAATGCAGCTGTGTGTGGGAGGTAGGGTTACTCTGCTCTTCAGGGTCACATGTGATATTGCAGGTGCTCTCTGCCTTAGTCTGCCAGGTGTGGCTGCTTGCTTGGAGCAGAGTACCCCGTGCTGTAAGGTTGACAGTAGTCTCTAATCGATCAACAAAACAGCAATTCAGGATTTGGACCGACCGACCAACCAACCAAACCACCCAAACAAACAAGCTTCAAAATGAAAGCACTTAGGACAAGGCCCTGGCCTGACTGTAGAATCCATGTGTGTAAATCTTGGAAGCAGGTTCCCCATCCTAGTTTGGCGGCATCTGTCATGAAGTATAGGCAGGATGAATGGACTATAAGGTGGATAGAAAGCTGGCTAGATCATTGGGCTCAATGGGCGGTGATCAATGGCTCCATGTCTAGTTGGCAGCCGGTATCAAGCGGAGTGCCCCAAGGGTCAGTTTTGTTCATTAATGATCTGGAGGATGGCATGGACTGCACTCTCAGCAAGTTTGCAGATGACACTAAAGTAGGAGGAGTGGTAGATATGCTGGAGGGTAAGGATAGGACCTAGATGAATTAGAGGATTGGGACAAAAGAAACCTGATGAGGTTCAACAAGGACAAGTGCAGAATCCTGCACTTAGGACAGAAGAATCCCATGCACTGCCACAGACTAGGGACTGAATGGCTAGGCAGCAGTTCTGCAGAAAAGGACCTAGGGGTCATGGTGGACGAGAAGCTGGATATGAGTCAACAGTGTGCCCTTGTTGCCAAGAAGGCTAACGGCATTTTGGGCAGTGTAAGTAGGGGCACTGCAAGCAGAACGAGGGACATGATCATTCCCCTCTATTCAACATTGGTGAGGCCTCATCTGGAGTACTGTGTCCAGTTTTGGGCCCCACACTACAAGAAGGATGTGGAAAAATTGGAAAGAGTCCAGCGGAGGGCAACAAAAATGATTAGGGGGCTGGAGCACATGACTTATGAGGAGAGGCTGAGGGAACTGGGATTGTTTAGTCTGCAGAAGAGAAGAATGAGGGGGAACTTGGTAGCTGCTTTCAACTACCAAGTTCCCCCTGAAAGGGGGTTCCAAAGAGGATGGCTCTAGATTGTTCTCAATGATACCAGATGTCAGAACAAGGAGTAATGGTCTCAAGTTGCAGTGGAAGAGGTTTAGGTTGGTATTAGGAAAAACTTTTTCACTAGGAGGGTGGTGAAGCACTGGAATGGGTTACCTAGGGAGGTGGTGGAATCTCCTTCCTTAGCGGTTTTTAAGGTCAGGCTTGACAAAGCCCTGGCTGGGATGATTTAGTTGGGGATTGGTCCTGCTTTGGAGCAGGGGGTTGGACTAGATGACCTCCTGAGGTCCCTTCCAACCCTGATATTCTATGATTCTCTGACTAGGGCTGCAGAAGTTGTCTATGTTCAAAGTGTACTGCTCCTACAAAAAGGACAGTTCTTGACAAATGAACAGTTTCAAATTTTGCCAGTTGATTTTGAGCCCAAAATGACATGTTAAATCTAGAGAACAGAAGAGCCCCTACTGCGATCTGGCCTTGAGAAGCCAGTCCTTTAAAATACAGAAAAACATGTACTCTCTCTTAGGTGGGATGTCATTACGACCAGAGACTTTGAAGAAAGAAAAAAAAAAATACATAGCACTGCTGACTTCTTGGAGGAGATGTTTTTTCTCTTTAGCAAAAGCTCAGGTATTCCTGTGCAACTTCTCTGTACCAACGTGAAAGTAGGCATCTTTCAAGTCAAGAGCCACTCAGCCTCCTTGGTATGGAGATCAATCATCCATTCCCTATGGTGATTGTCCTGAATTCTGAAGTTCTGATGTATTTGTTTAGACTGCTTACATCTAAGATTGGGTGGAGGCCATCAACCTTCATGGAGATTAGAAGTATAAGTCAGAAGAGAATAACTTCCACGAGTTAATAGGCAGCAGGTTTAAAACAAACAAAAGGAAGTATTTTTTCACACGATGCACAGTCAACCTGTGGAACTCCTTGCCAGAGGATGTTGTGAAGGCCAAGATTATAACACGGTTCAAAAAAGAACTAGATAAGTTCATGGAAGATAGGTCCATCAATGGCTATTAGCCAGGATGGGCAGGGATGGTTTCCCTAGCCTCTGTTTGCCAGAAACTGGGAATGGGTGACAAGGGATGGATCACTTGATGATTACCTATTCTGTTCATTCTCTCTGCGGCACCTGGCATTGGACACTGTCCAAAGACAGGCTACTGAGCTAGATGGACCTTTGGGTTGACCCAGTATAGCCGTTCTTATGAGTGTATTCCTGAAGAGGGATGGGTAACAGGGGTTGGGAGGCAGTCTGATGAGGCTCTATATATGAAGTAACTTTGAATTAAGGCTTCTGGATACCCAGCAATCTGAGGCAATTTCTTCACACCAGGCATCATAGAACCTCACAAACCCATCTCCAAAGAGACAGGGAAGAGGTGGCGTCAGAAGAAAGGATGAAAGGCTATTGGAACAGGTCTTCTAACTGCAGAGTCAAACGTGTTGTCTGGATACAGACAATACAGAAGATTAAGGCAATGTAAATGGATTTCTTCTTTCCTTAGCTGGTAGCAGAAAAGACCACGGGCGCAAGCCATTGCCATTGTTGTTTCAGCCTCACTGAGGTTTCATCATTCCCTCTGTTCCCACTACACAAACACTAAGACCACCCTGAGCTTCACAGGTTAAATTCTCTATTCATCCTTGTTATTTTGGAACAGGGCTCAAGGAGTCATGGAGAATCTATGCAAACTGACTTATGTGGCCAAGACACTGGTGCAAGAATTGGAGGAGTCCCAGGGAGGCACAGTGGATCATAACACTGCCATCTGCAGCAAGATTTTTTGTTGCTTGTCTCTGGTTTTCAGGGATTGAAGCTATCAGCCCAGAGGGCATGTGGACAGTGTACCCGGTAATTGTGTAAATGTGTAAGCAGTATACATGCAGGGGACTAGACTAGATGACCTCTCGAGGTCCCTTCCAGTCCTATGCTTTGATGCCCACACACCTCAATGAATGAGATTTCCTGTCAACCAAATGAGTAAATTCTGCATCCATCCTTATTGAAGGGGCAGAATGGATAAATTTAGTACCCCTAAGTCTTTTCTAATGCATCAGAAACTACAAGGGAGTTGGCTCTTGCATGTTGTAGTAAATAAAATATATTCTATCCACTTCCCTGGAGACTGCCAGTGAACAGGACTCTGTTAGTCAAATACTGTTAACTGGGTATAAACAGTCCCTTACTGACCAGAAGGGACATCCTATCATTCAGTTTAGCTTGAACGATGTTAAACAGAAATCTGTTTCCACAGTGACCAAAGCAGTCTCCAATTGATATATATGAGCTGTCCAGCAGCTTTTGGGTCTGA